GTTCAACAGGAGGGGATCTCAAGCCCTGGACCGAAAGACCTAAGCACCCCGAACTCAGGGTTTAGGGTTTAGGGTTTAGGGTTTAGGGTTTAGGGTTTAGGGTTCAGCATCTCAAAGTTCAAGCATTCACTAGGCTGGCAGCCTTTCAAGCGCCCGAAAAGTACCCACCCACCCAGAGAATCCCATACCATTAAGACAATAAAAGTTTCACACGCAACCCAAATTCTTAACCCTACGCTCTTGTCCCTGAACCTTCAACCACCGTAGAACCCTCAGCCCTGAACCCTTGAACCCTAAATTTTAGGGCTCCTCAACCCTCATGCCACCCAGTGGCTTTGCAAATGACCCAGTGCATGGGGTGGGGTGGGGGGCGGGGGGGGGGGGGGGGGGGGGTGGGGGGGGGGGGGGGGGGGGGGGGGGGGGGGGGGGGGGGGGGGGGAGGGGGCGGGGGCGGGGGGGGGGGGGGGGGGGGGGGGGGGGGGGGGGGCCGGGGGGGGGGGGGCGGGGGGGGGGGGGGGGGGGGGGGGGGCCGGGGGGGGGCGGGGGGGGCCAAGGACCTTGCCACTGATTTTCGGACCTTGCCCGCTAATTTTCGGACCTTGCCCGCTAATTTTCGGACCTTGCCCGCTAATTTTCGGACCTTGCCCGCTAATTTTCGGACCTTGCCCGCTAATTTTCGGACCTTGCCCGCTAATTTTCGGACCTTGCCCGCTAATTTTCGGACCTTGCCCGCTAATTCTCGGGCCTTTCCCGGGTCCGAAAATTAGCGGGCAAGGTCCGAAAATTAGCGGGCAAGGTCCGAAAATTAGTGGGCAAGGTCCGAAAATCAGTGGGCAAGGTGGTGGGTCAGCGGGCAAGGTCCGAAAATTAGTGGGCAAGGTCGTGGGGCAGCCAATGGACCTTGCCCACTGATTTTCGGACCTTGCCCGCTGATTTTCGGACCTTGCCCGCTAATTTTCGGACCTTGCCCGCTAATTTTCGGACCTTGCCCACTAATTTTCGGACCTTGCCCGCTAATTTTCGGACCTTGCCCGCAAAGCCATTAACATTTATATTATATATGAAAGAGTGGTTTAGGGTTTAGGGTTTAGGGTTCAGGGTTTAGGGCTTAGGGTTTAAACCAAAAGTTCGGAAATCAATTAAAATTCGTTTTCCGAAGGCGACTGCTTCCATGCCACCCGGCCGCCCGCTCGCGCGACGCTAGGCTGAGCCTGCCGGGGGTTGCTTCCTGGTTCTTGCTAGTAGGGACTGAACCCTAAACCCTAAACCCTAACCCCTAAACCCTAAACCCTAAACCCTAACCCCTGACCCCTACCCCCTACCCCTTAAACCTAAACTTGTTCAAGGATTCTGTAAGGGGACCTACTTCAGGGACGTTGTTTGACTTAGGTGTCCTGTCGCAATGCGAGTGATTTCTAGGGATAGGGTCGCACTCTGAAACCTACAAGGCGAAGATAAACAGCCATTTGGCCATTTGGGTTGCGAAAATCACAAAAAAAACCCTGGTATAGTCCCCCAAATTGTAGGATCCCCTTATGCAAGGGCCCCAATATTGCACCCCCTAACATCGTAAACCCCCGTTTCTTGGTGCACTTCCCCCAAAGCCAAAACCCAGGACCCAGAATAGGCCCCTTATTGCCTTTGTTAGGGTTTAGGTTTCCTTATCAGCCCCTTCATGTCATCAGCTAGCACTCGGAATCAAGCAGCAGAAGCAAAATGCTTGGAGCATCCCTGCACCCTGAAGCATGCTTTTTGGTGTACAGTAGGGTTTGGGTTGAGGGAAATCCTAATCTCCTAAACCGGGGCTCTGGGGTTTAGGGTTTGGGGTTTTGGGTCATTGAGCCCTCACCTGCACGCAGGGCGACTGGGCCTTGAGTTTGAGCTTTGCTGGCAAATGCACCGCACGCCCAGCCAGCCCCAAAGCAGATGGATGTTCGTACCCAAATTAGCTCCCATATGCTCCTTGCTGAAGAAGAACCCGAGCTAGGACCTAAACCCGAAAACCCCAAAACTAGGCTGTTGTAAGACGTCGTGTTTGCTTGCTGGCTGGCATGTTTCTGTCAATGTACCGTCCTCGCTATGCGCCCGCGCTGCAGGACCAGTCTGTTTCCAAGCAAAGTGCCCTGGAGGTAGTCGGGTGTCTATGGTTTTCATGTCAGCCGGCACTGTTCAGGGGGTTCGGGGGACGAAAGGCCCTAAGCCCTCGATCTACAGGGGTGTAGCATCTCTAGAACGATTGGTGGTCTTGAATTACCTGGATTACCTCAGGCAGCTTCTGCTACTGCCAAATGGCTTTGTAAGAGCGCTCTACCTGGCCACGCAGCCAGCAGCCATGCAAGGGAAGGGGCAGGTGTACTTGGGATGTCAATGCCCCAGTTTCTTCAGCTCGTCGCAACACTGCTCAGGCTGTGAAGTCTCAACCCTCAAGCGTAAACCCTTCAAGCGCCCAGACCCAACTTCCAAGTAATGACTGCAATGAAAGCAATGTTCTTCCAAAAGAGTCCCTTTTTCTTCGGGGGTCCCTTTCAAAAGGAGTCCTTGTTTCAAGGGTAACTAGAGGACTGGAAGACCCATAGTCTACAACCGCAGCCAACAGGCGACCCAAGCCTCAATGCCTCGGATTAAGACTTGTGGCATCTTGAGAATGAAGTTTCTTTTTGTTTTGGATTTGTTAGTTCCTGTTGAGGTTATTGCAGGATGCACGTGACCACCATGGTTTTCAGGGTTTCGAGGCCCAGGGGCCAGGGTCCGGGGCCACTTGCCTCTCAGCCCCTGTTTGCACGAATTCACGATGCTTACCGGTCGCGAGTTGAGACGGCCTAGATTTCGACTCGAACCCAGTTCAGCTGCACTACTGTAACCCGCCAGCAGATTTGGAACAGAAAGACACCCTTATCAATGCTATGCTATAATTTCTTGTTGTATTCGATGTTCTTCAGGTCAAATCGCCGAAGTCGCTAGGTTGGTCTCAACCCCCTTTAGCCAGCGATGGCATGCAGTCTCGGCAATGTTACCGTCAAAAGCAGGTAGTGCTGCGTTGCAGGACGACTCTTGCTGCTGTTTGTTGCACACTGAATCACCTAAAAGCTCTGGCCAACCCTAAACCCTAAACCCTAAACCCTAAACCTGCTCTTGCCATCTCTTGTGGCATCAAGGCGAAGCAAACACTTGCAGGTACACCCCCCCCCATTCAACCGGAAGGGAACCCAATAAAGGACACCCGTGGGCTCGACCCAGCATCCCCTACGCACCACATATAAATATACATATATATATGTATATATATATATATGTATACACATATAATACGGCATAGGCACTTACACTGCGAACAGGTCAAAATATAAGTCCATGCCAGTCAGACTAAGAAAAAAGATGAAATACGTACATCTATGCATGCATATCCCTTCACTTCCCATAAGCCCTCCCCCCCATCTCCAGAAGTTAGCCGCCCCTTCGAAGCCCGCGGTGCTCCGCCATTTGGCGCACTCCGGCTCGCCGGCGATGGCGGCAAGAGCTCCCAGGGTGTAGGGTTAAAAGGGAATGAGGGCTTGGTCTGTAGGGCTTAGAAGGGTTTGTGGGGGGTTTTGGGGTGTTTATGTAGGGCTTACAAGGGTTTGTGGGGGGTGTTTATGTAGGGGTTAGAAGTTGGAAGGGTTTTGGGATTTTGGGATGTTAGGTTTTTGAGGGCTTAAGGGTTTAAGGTCATGTGGTTGCTGATGGTGCAGAGGCTGGCGCAAGGACTGTTTGTTTTCTGTTGTTCTAGGGGGGTGGGCAAGAATTCCACAGTATCTAGGGTTGGGTTGAATGAGTAAGGGCGTTTAGTTTTTAGGTTGTGTGGCCTCAGGGCTTGAAGGGTTTTAGGGTTCGGGGCTTCGGGTTCAGGATGTCGGGTTTGTAGTCTAGGTTCGCGAGGCATTGGACTTTTGCGTTATGCAGGGTTCATGGGATTCGGGTTGTCGTTGGTGCTAGTGAATAGTGGTTGGGTTTTGGGGCTTTCGATTTACGACTTAGGAGGTCAGGTCTAGGATTCAGGGTTTTTAAGGTTTGCTGTTTTGCAAGGGTCAGGGGGGACAGGTTTCGCTCTTGAGGCCAGTTGGGCACATGCGAACCCCAAAATCCCTAATCCCGAAACCCTACCAGAACCCCTAAACCATACAAGCCATGAAACCCTATAAGTACTACAACCGCAGTCCCCTAACCAACCGTAAGCCTCTTAAAAGCCTAAGCCGCCCGAATCAGATCTAACGAAGCTCCGGATCAGCGTCCAACGGCATTCAGCGAGAGAGTCCTGCTGAACGTCAAGGGCATAGGGTTTGGGGTTTACCTGGCTAAGGGTTTTGGAGGGCATGTCCTGATCATTGGGCTAGGTAGGGCCCAGCTGCACACCCAGATCCTTCCACTGCCCAGACCAGAAACACAACGGTGCAAAACCCCGAGTTCGATGTCCGCGAGCATCGGAGGAGCGACAGCTAAGGGCTTCGGGATTTGGGGTTCGCATGGTAGTTTCTTGTGGGTTCAGGGACCCTGGGTTCAGGAGGTTTACCCTGTTGTGGGGGGAATTGGGCCTTCAGAGTTGAGGGAGGGTGGGGCCTCCAGAGTTGAGGGAGGGGTGTTTTTGGGTGTGTAGAGTGTAAGAAGAGTGGGCCAGTATATGTGCATCCCAGTACCCGAAGCTCCCAAGTCCAAAGCCCCAAGGGTGCTCTGAGCTCTATGCCAATGTACCGGCGGTAGTAGCCTGTACCCTAACCCTGCAACCCCCAAACGTACGATAAACTTGACAGTGGCGGTTCCCTACTTTCCTTTCCCCCCCCCCCTCCCTTGAACATCCTACCTGATCGCTTCCCAGAGACTCCAAATATTCCTTAAAGTATAATTAAGGAATATTCCTTAGAGTCTAAGAGGGTTCCTTATATGATCTTATATGGTTTAAGGAATATTCCTGAATTAAGGGATATTGGAGTGTTTGGGTTCCCCTCGGCTGCAGGAAGCAGACTGAAATGGCGCAAGCGCTGCAGTCTAAAAAGAAGTCCTACAAGCTCGAGGACCAGTCGGGGGTCAGGATTCAGTCGAGTGAGTAGTAAACCTTAACTTTGTTCTAGGCTGGTTCTAGTTTCCAAGAATAGAAGTTTCGAGTGGAGTAGAATCCGAACGGAGTGGTGCCCACATGCTTCGGATCCCATGTAAAACGCTGGTGCGAACCTAGCCAAGGTTGACCTTCAGTTTGGGCGGGTCGTGGTTTGCGAATGTGCGATGGGGCTGCAGGGATAGGGCCTTGGAGAGGATGTTGTGCAGCTGGTCCTTTCCATCCATACCGATGGCGGTGCAACCAGGGATGAGCCACAGCCTCGCAAATTCGAGCAGGGGCGCGTAAGGTTTAGGGGGGCTTTGAGCTGTAGGCCTAACTTTTCTGTTATGTTGGACAGGTACGTGCACGCGACACTGTCTCAGGGGACATGTAATAGCCACGTACTTCGGAACAGTTGAGACTCGGATTTAAGGTTTCAGGTTGCTGCGTGAAGGTTGAGACCTTTATTTGAGATGGGTCTTTGATCTTGTGTGAGCCTCAAAACCATTAATCGATTGTTGAAGCTATTCAGGGCATGATGCACTTTCTGGTAGGTGCAGCACAACAACCACAGCCTCCAACACAAGCGTCAAAACGGTCTTGGCTTCCAATCCCAGCAACCATGGGACTTAGTGGGCCCCTAAACCCTAAACTCTAGATCCAGGTCACAAGGGTGCTGTAAAGCTTGAGGGTGATTCTCCTGGTGCATGAATAGAACCTTGGATGCACAGTGGGTCCAGTAGGTTCATTCATTTTTATTTTTGGTTGGGGGGGGGGGGGTTCGGGGATTCGCGGATAGGGTGCCCAGTGGTACCCTTCTTTCCTGGTTTGGCTAGGTCCACTTCACCCTTTTACGATCATCGGGGGTCGGGGGACGCTAAACTGCTAAACCCTAAGCCCTATTGAAAAGAAGACCGCGAGGCTGCAACGTTACATCACCTTGCTGGATCGTCAGCTGCCGGGATCTCAGGGCAAAGTGAGGTGGAGTTGGTTGGGATGTTCCCCCTTATACTAACAGTCCTTAGTAGGGATTTTAGTACCCCTTTTTCTAATCCCTCCTAAGGACTTATAGTATGAGGGGGACCATCCCAAGGTTTGGGGCTTAAGACACACGTTCTTGTAGATGGCAGGTATCTTGCTCCTACCCCAACCCCCAAACCCTAGGTCTACTGGGCTCATGCATCGTCTCCGGTGCAGGTCCGAGCGGTTGCAAGATGTGGTTACCAAGTTGGCGACAACTCAGACCTCGGTGGAGGCACTTACAGCGCGCAATATCTATGTATTGAACGTTAAGCTTTGTCTTCAGCGTATGAGATGACGGTAGAAAGGTACATGATATATAGTACGTAGTATCGCTTGGGGCTCAAGGTTTCAGAATTAACAAGTCTCATTTGCGAGACGCTCTGATGTGGAGGCTTCTTAAATATAAAAGCTACGAATGCATACGCACGCCCTAGACATAACGACTGGGCTGGGTCAATTGGGGGTGTCCGACAATCATCCTTTCCCCCTAATACTAAACGGGGGGGCCACCCCTCGCCCCCCCCCCCCCCCAATAAAAACTCGAAATGTGTGTGTGTGTGTGTGTTTTTTGTTTTAGGGAGAGGTTTTTATCCAAATGTCAAGTGCTTCAGGCTTGCTAACCCTGAGAGCGTAGAGAGGGAGCTCCACTCAGGCAGCACAGCAAGGCTCAGACAGAGGCTTTGCAGCCATTCACACACACACACTCACTTGAGGGTTTTGCCTAATTCAGAATGGGGTTTAAAAGGCGGGGTCGGTTTCGGCAGGATTTTCCGGAAAGTGTTTTTGATAATTTGGTGGGGGGGGGGGGGGGGGGGAGGGGCGTCTAATGAAAGGGAGAAGGGATTGGGGTAGTTGCTAGAATATAACGCCAACACGCCACTGACAGCTTTGGTTCTTCGGAAGTGTCTGCCCGAAGCTGGAAGCAAATCTATGCAGAGACCTTGAATTTCTGGCCCGAGTCCCCAGCCGAGTGGCATGCTTGCAGGAGCAAGAGAAGGAATCTCAGGAGATGCACAAGAAGCTTGCATCAAACACAGATCGTGACTTGTCTGCCCTGCATTGTGGCAGGTAGGTTGAGCACGTAGAGATTTATACCCCCCCCCCAATTGAAAGTGTCCGAAGTTCATGAAGTAGCCTTGAGTTTGTTCGGGTACGATTACGAATCCTCTCACAATGCGCAAGCTTCACCTTCACTTCCCTATGAGGCTGGACAAGTAGGGTATGGAGAGGTCGTGCTTTCGGGGTCGAGGCGCCGGTTCTGGACATATTCGGAGTTGAGTTTAGGGTTTGGACTTTCGGCTTTAAGTCTAGGCATTGGACATCTCACCCTGAATGCCGGGTTTACCAGAACCGAGCTAGGCTTTGCTTTTATGCTTGTTTAGCCTCTGGAATCTTGGGGTCTTAGGCTTTGGGGTTAAGCATCGCGCATGTAGGCCGGAAGGTTTTGTGCCCACCAGCCTTAAGGTATGCCAAGCACAATCATTCACCAAGCGATGGTGCGTCAACAGTCCTGAGAGCACCTGGGTTGAGGGTCCCGTGCCAAAAGCTTTTGGGATGTTTCTTTGTGTTTTTTGAGAGGGGGAGGGGGGGGGGGGGGGTTGGCAGGGGGGCTAGTATCAGAGTTCTGGGATGCGGGGTAAACCCAAAAAGCCCTAAGCACTGAATCCGATCTGTAGCCTTGCCCACAGCCGTGTAGGGTCTGAGTTACATGTTCGGTTTACGCTTTCCATCACCTTCCTGGACTGCGACCGCCGAGGCTTGCACGAGACGGCCATGAAGACTGCCAAAGACTTTCAACAGTCGCCGGTGCCTTATGTAATATGTATATAAGTTGTATCAATAAATAAGTCAAATAAATATAAATAAATACATATATAAAAGGCACCACATACATATATATATATATATATATATATATCTGTATATGCGTATGTGCCATGTTTGGTTCTCGAGGCTGTCGAATCAGTTGGCAGAGATGCACAGCCGCATCAACCAAGAAATGAGGCCCTGGATGTCGAGGGTTTAGGTGCCGGCAGCAGGCCGAAAGAGAGAGCCATAATAGTTAGGATAATTCTAGTAGTTATAGTGTATGTTAATTAGTTCCAATAGGTTGAATAGTTAGAATAATTCTAGTTTTTATAGTTAGTTCGTTCCAATAGTTGTAATAGTTGTACCTAGTTTGTTCTTTAAGCCACCGATGTCGCTGAGCGATACTCACGTGATGCTCGTAGTCGGTGCAGCTGATGAATATAACAATGCAATGTGAACTTCGTACAATAGTATAACATACTTAAGACCAGTAATAGCAAGATTCTAATCGTAAACTAGTCAAATACAAAATTGTAGCAACAGAATAATCTCAAAATGGATATCACCCGTAGTATAGTCCCCCAAATACGAGGATCCCCTTCTAAAACTGGCCCCAATAAGGCACCCTCTGACATCGTAAACCCAATTTCTTGGTGCAATTTCCCCAAAACCCCAAAGCCTAGGACCCAGAGTAGGCCCCTTATTCTCTTTTTATAGGCTTAGGTTTCCTTAGTAAACCATCATATCAGGGCTGCTGCTCTCACCGGTCGCGAGGAGACATGAGGACAAGATCAACGACTTGTACGACAAGTTGGGGCTGACGCGTCAGGGCCCCATGTGAGCCGCCGGGGACCTCTTTGCAGAGGTCTGTAGTAGAATGGAATAATAGAAGAAATAGATTAGTATAGACTAATGGAAGCCATGATGAAATTATAGAGTAGTGGAACATCCAAAATAAGCTTATGCCTTGACATCCAAGCAGTTGGCTCAAGGCCTGCAACACTTGGTGGTCGGAGCATCAACGAGTGCCGTTGTAGCGATGCCAGAAGGACAGATGGAGATCACCGAAGCGGCGAAGTCTGGCGACGGAAGCCTCAAGAATGTTGGCATCAAGGTGAACGGCAAGTTCAAGTCTCCCGTCAACAACCAATGCTTCGATACCCAAGAGGCCCTCGACCTCCACCTGAAGTATCTCCACGACCCGAAGAAGGCAAACCCTGCAATCGAGGAGTGAAGAGCATCCGGGTGAGAGAGAACGGCATGTGATTGTGGCCGCTCGGCTCCTTTGTAGCCGATTGAGGGGTGAAGTTCTCTGTCTCTTTGAGATGGAACCGATAGAATGTGAGCCTCACATGCTTTTTTCCATTTTGGCCCTATGAGCTGTATAGTGTGTATAGTCGCTCAAAGCCTTCCTCAGACGCTAAGACAGCTGGACCGTGGCTGCTTGCGTGCTTTGTGTTCTCGCACCCATGTGAGACTTGTTGGTCAGTGTCGCGGACAAACGAACATTCCTCATCTCGCAAGGATGAGGCTTCTTGGCTTCCAGCAGGGGGCCTTTTGCTTTTCGACAGCGCTTACTTCTGAACCGTGATGCCCGTTGCCGTGCTATTATTTCGACGTTGAAAGCGCGTTGTGCGTCACGCAGTATTCCAAGCCCACTTTCCAATCAAGCAACACCTCCACTTGCGGGCTTCCATGCCCAATCCCAACCCTCACCCTTCTAAGAAGACAAATCCGAAACCCAAAGACAGCGAGAATGACGTAGAGGCAGAGAAGGAGAGAGAGAGAGAGAGAGAGAGAGCGAAAGATAGAATGGCCCTGTTCAGCAACACGCACTGGAGCTGTAGGGCTGTGGGGTCATGAGAGCACACATGCGCATGCATACACACGCACCCACACACACAGCCAGGGACCCTTTCGTTGAAAAACACTCAGGTCGAGAGCTCTCGGCCAACGTGGCCATCATGCGCAGCGAGTCGCGAGTGTTGCCCATGGCCTGAATTGGAGTCAACTTGGTAGTCAAGTAAGGTAAAGCATGTTACAAGCCTATGAATACCATAAAATGGTTCATTATTAGTATAGCAGCTTATGTCATCTGAAAAACACAATCCCTCATCCCTCCGTCGGCCCAATGCTCAACCTATAGCTAGGTCCCGCATGCGTTGTTGGGCTGAGCGAAATGAGAACTCATGGCTTTCACATTCAAAACACACCTAATATAGGGTCGGAATAAGTTCTAATAGTATTCCCTTATGCTTCCTTTCTATTTATACTATCATACCCCCCCCCCCCCCCAAAACCCTATTCTAGTTATTAAGGCCCCTATCGTACTTCAGGCTAGTTGAAGTGAGGCCTCCCCAGCTACCAACCGCATTGTCTTAGCCACTAGCGACCTCTTTCAATGGCACAGCTTGAGATGTTCCCCATTTCTAACAGTCCTTAATAGGCGGTACAATCCCCATTCAGGACTCTTAGTAGAAGGAGGAACATCCCAATCTGTGGCTCAGGGCAAGCGTGTCTGGTGACATATCCTGTAGCCCAAGGATGTGAGTGGGGGGCTCTAGGAACCCAGTGGCTTAGCCCTAAACCCTAAACGCTAATATGTGTGGTAATTACCCCTAAACCCCTAAACCCTAAACCCTAAACCCTAAACCCTGAACCCTGAACCCTGAACCCTGAACCCTGAACCCTGAACCCTAAACCCTAAACCCTATGCTTGGGAGCCCTTAGAACCTCAACTTCTCCCGGCCGGAGTCCACCCGGGTTCGAGTTCGGTCTCATGGGGCCCTGCTTGGCTTTGGGGTTCAGGGTTCAAGGTTCAGGGTTCAGGGTTCAGGGTTTAGGGCTTAGGGCTTAGGGTTTAGGCTTTAAGGTTACTGTTCAGGGTTGAGGGTTCCTTGCCTTCATCCGACTTGAGAAGGTCTGGGTGTTTCAGGACCTTTAGGGTCCTGAATCCTCTAAAAGGGACCCAGACCTGCTCTGATTAGGGGGTTTAGGGTCAAGGTCTTAGGGCCTCCGAGAAGGGACCCTGAATCCATTACCCTATACAACCCCCTATACATACCTCATATAGTCCCCATATACCTAAGTAGCCCCTAAGCAACCCTTAAAGAACCCCTAAGGTCCCTTGTAAGGGTCCCTCCTTTAGTCCTTTGCTCTCAGGATGCACAAGAACAACGAGATCCTCACCAAAGCCCTCAAGGATTCGGAGCAGGACCTCCCTTCAAGAGTTGGGTTCAGAGGGTTTAGGGTTTAGGGTTCGGGGTTCAGGGTTCAGGGTTAAGGGTTTGGGGTTTAGGGTTGGGTTTTGGGGCTTGCAGTTTGGTTGTGGGAACCTGGCAGAACCTGAAGAAGCATGCAAGATCATCACTCCTTGATGCCTCCCCTTACGGGTTCTTCAGACTTTTCGCCGTTGCTTAACTTCAATTAGGAGCATGACTCGTTTCCAGAATCCCAATATGAATGGGATGCTAGCTGCCCAGAATAACCCGTGCGATTTCAAACAGACCCCCCCCCCCCCTGGCATGACTGAGTCTGGCCTCGGGGTTCTGAAGGCTTCAGGGCTCCTAAACCCTAAACCCTTGAAACCCTAAACCCTAAGCCCCAAACCCGAGACCCTAAACCCTAAACCCTAAACCCTAAACCCTAAACCCTAACCCAAAGCCCCAAACCAAAGCTAGGACTTCGCAACAAAAGCAAGAACACCTTAAGACTCCTTATAAGAGGAGACGCGGGAACACGCGATGACGGTGGCGCCCTTAGCACTCGCTGAGTCTGTGGGCTCCAGCTTAACACAGCTAGCGCACCCCCAAAGCGAACCAGGACGACTCCTCACAAACTTGCAAGCTCCTTTAACTAAACAATCTCAGGGTAGCTACATGGTCCCCGAGTTTGGGCCCTTAAAAGGGGGAAGGGGGCAGCAGACCTGCTTTTGGAGTGTTTATGTGCAGCCTACGATTGTGAAATCTGGACCCTGTTGAGTAAGCAAGTAATCCCAAACGTAAACATTCTGAGTGAAGTATGTAGCCCCCTGTATTAAAAACTAATAAACACCCTGTAAACCCCTAAGCCCTAAACCCTAGAGAGCTGACCCTCCTGCGTGCATCGGCCAAGGCCCTTCAAAGAGCCGAGGCGGAGATCAAGAACACGCAGGTGCCGGCAGCTACCGCATGTCAATGTTCACAAAAACCTGGCCGCCGCTTAAGGGTCTAGGGCTTTGTGGTTGGTAGGATCTTAGGTATGAGTTTGATATGTCGTCAGAGGTCACCCGAAGTTCTGCAGATGCCGGGCTCGGAGGCTTTTAAGGCCAGGAGATGTAGGTACTTATTAAGAGTTCGGCTCGTTTAACGCTAAGCCTACGTAGGCCGAATGGTATGCATGGCTCGAGTTGATGCGACAGAGCCAAAAACTCTCTGCCCCAAGTGCCAAAACTCATCCAATGTCCAGGAGCGACACAAAACATACTTCGAGTCCCGAATGGACAAGGCAGGCTTTCACATTGCACACATGGAGCTGCAGCGTGGGCCTTAGCAGGAGAACCTCTTTTAGCACTTTGCCGATATTTTCGGGATCTAGGGCCTTGCGTGAAAAGGTGGGACCCGGGGTCCAACCTTTGACTATCATTGAAATTGCTACCTGACCTGTTCGCGAAGTTATGTTCCTTCACAGGTACCCTGATGCAAGGGAGTCGCATGTTGGAGGGACCCTTAGCAGATATTTAGGTTTTAGGCGCTGTTTAAAGGCCAGAACATGAAGAACTGGACGCCGGGTGCCAAGGTGCTGCGAAGCCAAAGTAGAACGTGAACCCCACATAGAAGCCTGCAACCCTCAAACCGTACACACCCTTCGAAGACCTAGGGAAATCCGGAACTGAGCTGACCCCGGCCCCCCAAAAGCCCAAGCTTCTTTTCCAGCTTCCTGGCGCCTTCCCGGCTTGCTTGCTGTAGGATAACTTTGAATTTCCTTCCTTTCCTATATACCGTGTAGGGTCGGGTTTAGAGCTTAGGGATGGCGGAGCCTTAGAGCCGGTTGAAATTGCAGGCAGATCAGTTCGCGCTGAACCTGGAAGCCGACCTTGACTTCTTAAGCAAGAAGGTGGGGGGGGTTGCGATGTGGTAGGTTCGCGGAACCCGGGCCCCTTTTTGTAACACGGGGCCTTGCATCCAGGGTACCCTCAAAAGGGACCGTAATCAAGACGTCTGCTCTTTTGGTGGTTTTTTAGGCCTGGGTTGGGGGGTTTTACCAGAGCCAGGAGGGTGCCTGAGCCTTGTTTACAGGGCCGGGGGGGGGGGGGTTATCTTGTTTGGGGTGTACGGTTTAGGGATTAGGGGTTTGGGGGTAGACATGTCCCTTGTATTTCTGGTTCTGGAAGTAGGACATTCTTGCAGTCTTGGGTTTTAGCCATTTGTGCGAATGCTACATGGGGACTAGTCTGACAGAGGTCGAAGCCAACCGCAATGCCTTGGAGGAGCGTGGGTGGCAATTTTCTTCGTTACAGTGCTTCGATCAGTAGTAAGTTGCCTTCGGGGTGTTCACGGTTCAGCCTAGGGAGTCAGGGGCTAGGGCTTAGGAACCCTTGAAACATACTGTTGAAAAGAGGTCCCACATTTCATGGGTTTCACCAAAAGGGGGCCTAACTCCCCCAACATGCCAGCGCAGGCTCATCACTTGGGGCTGAGCAGGTTTAGCGTGGAAAAAAAGGGCTTCGGATCAGTAAATTCTGCCTTTCATTTCGGCGCGCAAAGGCCTTGGTGGTTGAGGATTTCAGGCGGAGTGGCTTTTTGTTGCTTTGAAGATTCTGGGATTCATGTGTGTGGAGAGTGAAGAGGATTTGGTCAGCAGAGCTTCCGGCGAGCTGCAGAATCGAGAGCAGATGCTACGCCGGAGGCTGAGGCATTCAAGACTTGGTTCGGGTTCGAGGGATGTCATAGGGATTTACGAAAATAATAGGGGACCCCGAATACAGACTCTCAAACAGTAGGATTCCCTTACAATAAGGACCCCAACAAGGTACCCCTAATTTCAGAAAACCCCATTCGGGTGGAGGAAGGGTGAGAGGCCTGTGGTCGTGGCAATTGCAGGGTTTAGGGTTTAGGGTTTAGGGTTCAGGGTTCAGGGTTCAGGGTTCAGGGTTTAGGCTCGTTTAAGGCATGCCAGCAGCGCTAGTCGACCCTGTCTTGGCACTATACGCGCAAGAACCCCCTAGAGCAAGAGAGTGTAGTTTCTTCGTATGGCCTAGGGTTAAAGCTACACCCACAGTCCTTCCATGAACTCTTACTAAGCCCTGAGCAGTACATCCTATGGGTTGCTCAGTCAACCCTGCTCATGTCGAAGCCAAGGAAAAGAGCACGGGAATCGGCTACAGGTGTTAGATGCAGGGCTCTCAGCTTCCGTGTGGAGTAAGGGTTCAGGTAGGGCTGCGGGGGCTTTTGGGTTTGGAGCTTGGAGGGTTTAGGCACTTGGTCCATTGGTGCTGTATTTTGCTTAAGGGTTTGGGAGGCGTCTTGGCACCTGATGCGGAGTGTGCGATTGCGCCCAGGGAGAGACCCCCAAACCTCAAGCCCTATATATACTGTTTCGGGCAGGGCCGCGCGACGCGACTGGACAACATCATTGCCGAGGCGGAGCCCACGGTTGGCAGTTCAGGGCATTATGTTTAACTAGGTGGGACTTTGCTGCAAGTTTATCACTTTATAAGTTTAGGGTTCCTCTAATCTCATATTAAGGGAGCTCAAAGTTAAACTTTTATGGAGAGGTTAAAGAGCAACCAAGTTAAGGCACGTTTTGACCTTGAGTTTTCACAGCTTCGGCTCTAACCCTCACGATCTTGCCACACGGCCAGGGCCTTCAAACCCTGAGACCCACAGAGCTCGGGACCCCTACGTGAAACACCAGGCTTCCTGTAGGTTTCTTTTGGTCTTTACAGGGGTTTTGAGGGTCTGGGTTTATAGAGTTCCTAGCGTGTGGAGGGTTTCAGAGGGCTAGGATCGGCTTGAGGGTTTAGAGGGTGTTCTGTCCGGTGCATATCTGGATTGACTCACCATGGACATAATGATTGTCCGCAGTAGGAAGTACAGGGTTTAGTTTTAATAAGGACCCAAACCCTAAACCCTAAATCCTAAACCCTAAACCCTAAACCCTAAACCCTAAACCCTAAACCGGTTTAGGGCCTCTTGCAAGTGGCAGGTCGAGAACATCCCGACCAGGAAAGTCGACTGGATCATCAAGGACTGAGTTTAGGGCTCCAAGTTCGGGGGCTTCAAGGGCTCCGAGGAACTTTAGCTGCTTTGGCTAGGCGTTGACCCTAAGCCCCGAAACCCTCTGAAACCCCTAAGCCTTCAAGAGCCGCCACCCCTGGAAGTTCAAGGCCACCGACTCTTTGAGGAGCCTACGAAATCCCTAGAAGGAAGAGACATTCATCTGCGCCAGCATTCACGTGTGGTTCGGCTGGTTTAGGGATTTCACTGTTGCGCCCTTGGTTAATGGTGGCTTCAGGGGTTGAGGTTCAGGGTTGCGCCACTACAGAGGGCTGAGGCTTTAGGGCATACTGTTTTTACAGAGGCCTTGGGTTTCGGAGGTTTTTGCTTTCATCCCGAACCACTAGGACGCGGCCCAACAGATTGCGAAGCTCGCTCTTCGGAGCGATCTGGTATCGCCAGGGCCTTCAGCAAGAAAGCCGGGTCCGCACTGGTTGCGCAAGTATGCAATTAGGTACCCCCCCCCCCCCCAAAAAAAAAAAAAAAAAACGTGTAGTATGGTTTTGGGGAGCCCTACTGCGCCAACAGTTGAATGTTAAACTTGGAGTCGTGAAGTAGCCCTGAATTCTTAACCTTGAGCCGCCAAGAAGATCAAATGGAATGCAGGGCCTAAGGATTAGGGTTCAGTCTTAAACCTAGATGCCTGGACAACCCCTCCCGACAAGATTCACATCAGAATTGTGTTTTATGCCTGTTGTAAAAAATCCCCGGGGGATGTGTGAACTCATCTTCTGCATCATTTTTCTAGAGCGAGTCTAATCCTCAAAGCCCGGAAGCCGAAAGAAAGGTCGCTGGCAACAACGAGATTCCAACAAGAGGTCGGAGGCAACAAAAGGATTCCAAGCGTGAAGCTTGTGGAAATAGGCTTCAACAGACAACAAACAAACTTCCGACGCGGTAGCGGTATGGAGGAATTGGATCCTTGATCCCAAAGGCAAAGGCAAAGACGTGCAACACACATCCAAGAATTTGGATATGTAGGTGGGGTCCGGATCTCGGCCGTCAGGGTGTTTGGGTCTTTGAGGTTCACGATCAAAGCGTGGCGAGGGTAGCAGACTTTCGGGCTGGAGATGCCCAAGCCAGAGGCCACGACCCCAAGCCCCCTACTTGTTCGATGAGGGTTGTTGGGCTGGTGAGTGAAACCTCCGCCCTGTTTGCGCACAGGGGCCCTGTCGGGATGCAGATTTTCAGGCGCTAAGGCCTACCTTAACCCTGAAGACCTTTTGCGGTGTGCAAAGTCCTTGCACCTGCATCTTGGCTAGCCAAGGACGCCGCCGGCCTGGATATCACCAACCTTCGAGGCCTTCCATGGGACTCAAATCCTGTGATTCTGAATTATGTTCAGGGTTTTAAGGTTTTAGTAGTTCTTAATCTGTTGTTCAGGGGCTTAGGTCCTCTTTGTGTACGTTGAATCTCCTTGTGCTTTTGGAGGTTAACCGTGACCAGAACCCTAAACCCTAAGCCCTAAACCCTAAACCCTAAACTCTAAACCCTTTTGGAGGTTAATCGTGACCACTCGGCCTGTACCTGACTGTACGTGTAAGAAAAGTCACAGTGCTCAGCATTCCGGCTTTCGGAATCACCTAACTTCATCCTAAACCCGAAGCCCAAACCCCGGTTTAGGGTTTAGGGTTTAGGGTTTAGGGTTTAGAAACCCCAAATCCAAGATTCCTCGTTTGGAGCCGTCACAATCCCCTTCGGGCCTGATCACATCCAATTCCCGAGTAGGGCCGTATCGGTTTACATAAAACCCAATCTGGGGCCAGTACAGAGGAGCAACCCGAGACCCTAGACCCGAAACCCTAAACCCCGCTAGACCCTAAACCGTAAAGCCTCGGGCGAATGCTCAGAAGTGAAGACGCAAGGCCGCAGGGGCGCATTCGCTGCAGCTGGAGCTCCGCTTCCTGAGGCTTTGCGGGCTTGTAAACGGCTTTATACGCCGGGATTGGAGTTATAAAGCTCAGAGTTTAAGGTTTATGAGCGGGCTTGGCTTGATATGACAGATTTAGGGTCTATATCTCGCGGAAGTGAGAAAGCACAGAGGGTCCAATTATCCGGTTGTTTTTATGTTGCGTGTCTTCTGGTGTAGCAGTCCAGCTAGTTACTTTTTCCAGTTCGAGTACCATCAACCCGTTCTAGGCAAAGCTTTGAACTTATGTCTTAGGGTCTTAGGGTTAGAATTGCACAGGCTGCTATTAGAAACCTTTACGAGCACTAAAAGCTAAACCTTAAGCCAAAAGCCTGAAACTGCAGTTATATATATATGTACATATATGATGCATACATATATATATATATATATAGAGGAGTCCGGTATATATTTATTTATTTATTTATATTTATTTATTTATGAGACATATACATGTATATATATATATATATATACATATAGGTGTTCGTACAACTCAAGCGGAGGCCCTCGGACGTGCAGGCAGGCCAAGACCAGGCAAGGCCCTCGTTTCGATGTTGCGCTTTTCCTTACAGTCTTGGCAGTCGAGTAAGCCACCTTTTGAAGCTTTAGTTCTAGTCTTGTAGGAAACCAGTCAAGGCCGCGGGCCGTGTCAGTCGTTTGCAAACCCCTGTGAACCAAAGAAACCCTGTCCCCTATACCTTAAGCCCCATTTCCCAGGGTTGCTTGGGAACCTGAAGCAGGATGGACAAATAGTTGCCAATCCTTGCGTAGGACCCCTAAGGCCTAGATCCGAATTATGACCCAAAACCAAAATGCTCAGTCCCTGCTTAAGGCAAGTCCCTACATACTAGAACACTCATGAACTAGACCGCAAGCCCTACAGCCTCTACGAGCTCAGCCCGGGAAGACTATCCGCTTCAACTTTAGGGTTGTGAGTTTGCAGCTTGAGTAGGGTTTGGGGTTGTGGGCTTTGGGTTAAGGGTTCTGGGTTTAGGGCTTTGGGCTCTTTGAGCCACCCAGGGGGGCCACGGGATGACATCGCTCTAACCAGGCCTCATAATTGAGAAGGACTTTGTGTTGAGACCCCACGGACCCCAATATGTGCTCCTGCCTTTACATGACATTTCCCTGACACGGCAGTCTACCCTCCCCACCCAAACACATACATACCTTGCTTGAGAAGAGGCGAGCACGAAACCCAAAAACCCACAAGCCCTGAACCCCCATAAACCTATTCACTCAAGCCCTGGGCCCAAACAAGGACTCCATGGCAGCTCGTGGGGACTGCGCAGACGGCTCAGGTTCTTCTCAGCCATACGTAAACCCCGAACTCTGCCCGGGGGGTTGCCCCGGTGGGCTAGGTTGCACGCTGCCAGCGACTGATTGGTCTTTTCCTTTATTGTATGTTCTTTTCCCTTATTGTATTTTTGGTTTTTTATTAATGTACTGTTGTGTGTGTGTGTGTGCCGCGTGCGTGCGTGCGTGTGTGTATGTGGGCAGGGGGGAGGCCCCAGACTCCAAGCAAGAGCCCGCACTGTACCTTGTCAAAGGTGTGCTTATGCCTGGTCTCCAATGGGGCCACATGTGCTTGACAAGGAATCCTGTTGCCAAAAGTACCGGAAGGAAATTAGGGCAACCCCCCAAGCGAGCCTAGATTATGCCTATGCTGAGGGAGTTGGCATGGGCATTATTCACTCGGCCGGACTTCACTCGGCTGGACCGCAAGCCTATGCCGCAAGCCCAAAACTACATGAAACCAAACCCAAAAGTTGTCCAATCCCCATAATCCTAAGGTTCTGGGCTTAGGGCCACTTTTTGCCCTAAACCCTAAAACCTTAAGGTTTGGGCTCTAGGGCCCTGAGCCCTATAAACCAGTTGAGGCCCTTGCTCTGCGCGCCGATCCTGGGCTTTTCCTCGTCTGCCGGCTCTTCGTAGGCCGGCATGTGGAACTCAGGGTGTAGGGGTTTAGGGCTTAAGGGTGTAAGTGTTTCAGGGTTTATAAGGCTTAAGGGTGTAAGGGTTTTAGGGCTTGGAGCCTAGGACCTGGGATTTCAGGGTTTCAGGTTTAGGGTTTGAGTTAGGGTTCAGGGTATAGGGCTCAGGGCTTAGGAGCCTCTAGATGTTGCAAGCCCGATAGGATTGAGGGTTTAGGGCTTAAAGGGTTTGGGGTTATAAAATTCACACGCCCCCTGCCACAGAGAACCTACAACCTGCCAGAAAACCCTTCAATATGTAAGGTCACCCTGGTAACTTTCCACCTGGTAGTTTGCTTAACAGAGGTGAGTATACCTCGAAATCGCTGTGGCAGTTCAAATACGGTGGCTCAACCCAACAACAGGCAGCAGACACAGCAAACAATCCAAGACATGTAAGAAATGCCAAAGCAACACTGCTCCAGGCTCAGCGTTTGGACAGATAGAGCACACCTTCCAAGACGACACGGCAGTTTGCCGGTTCCTCAGCGCTGCCTTGCTGCCAGTCATTCGACAGTAGTCTGATTCTTATCGAATATTACATATAAAGGAGCGCAATATCATTTGTAATGTATTGTAATGTAATGTAACACAATATTACAGCATGATACAATATAGCATTATGTATGTATATACAACTATATGTTTCCGCGACCCTCCCCCCTCGCCCCCCCTCCGCCCAAGATCCACGCTTGTATTTGCGAATCCACATGTCCAATTTCCGCTTTTAACTTCCAGAGTTCCGCCCTCCAAGTTTACTGGATTCCAGATGTCCATCCTCTAAGTTTCCAGATTCTGAATTGGAAATCTGAGCGGCTGCAACTCTAGAATCTGGAAGCTTAGAGGGTGGCAATCTGGACTCTGGAAGTTTAGAGGGCGGAAATCTGGAATCTACCTCGAAATACCACCGTGGCCGTCTTTCCTCTAAACGAAGACGTTTTTATGAAGCGGATTTCGTTAGAAGAAATCGGTGCAAGACCGCACAGACACGTGAAAGTATCTTGGAGTACATATTATTATTGAATGCAAGCATCGGCATTCACGGTGTTGCCGATGTGCTTAAGAAGCCAGACAAGGGCAATATGGATAGGG